AACGAACTCGTGACACAAATCTCGATTACGCCGGTGCGCGACGAAGTAGCTCGCCTTACCTTCGCGTCTTCGCGCAGCGTCGTGTGTCCTCTCGAAAACATTTTAATAACAGCAGTAACGATAATAGCTTCATTCGCGAGCGAGAACCTTTATTTTTAATTAGGTGTTAGATTATATTTTACTAGCTGCTAGAAACATTGTAATGCAGTTCTTGTTTTAGTACGAGGGACCTTCGAGAAAGTTGATCTTTATGCATTAACCCTTTGCGGACGAACGCCGACATTTCGGCGAGATGAAATTTTCATATTCGGGATACTAAGTTGCAAACGAATGATTTAATTACTTGAATAGCAAGCGATCAGTGTATAGTTTCCTTTTTTTCTATTGTTTAAGCATTCGATGTGTAGTTTAGTTTTATATGTTGCAAGTTTTGTGTGCTTTAGTGAATCTTCGGCCGCAGAAGGTTAAATTGATACGTAACTACGATTCGATTTCTAGTTATTGACATTTCGATTGGTTTATATTTTAGAACGCGTTGCAATAGGTGAATGAATGTTTCAGGTAATCTTTCTGATTGCGAGGAGAATATGCATATTGTCAGTGATTGTGGGAGAAGCGATTTAATCTATCTTCAGGACGTAGAGGGCAAAGAAAATTGATGGATGACTTGTTAATTGCTGTTGGATTGGCAATACCCTATTACTGAAATTCGTAGTATTTTAATTATCGGTTGGCCCGAAGGAAAGGCGGACGTGACATTTGACCTGTTGATTTCAGGGAAAATTAATAGATGGCTTTTTAATTACTATTACATTGCAGATTTGCACGTATCCAACGGGATCTCCTGAAACTTCACACAGGAAGGCAGTACAGAAAACCTTGTTGCGTCTCCATTTCATTTACAATCTACAATTCCTCCGTTGAAAACATTATTATCGACATAATGGATCACGAAATAATCAAATGCCGGTTCGACTCGAACTCCTTCGACTTCCCCTGCGGGGACTGTACAGTTACATAATCATTTCACCGAGGATATGCAAATCGGAGCATTTAAGAGCTTAAAGACCTCGGTAGATTTAAAAATTCGTTTCCTTTATTAAGCAAGATTCATCACGATAAAAGGATGCGAAAGGCGTTCTATGCACCCGTAAATCGTTCGCTTTAGAGTATCCCGTACGTTCTAACAATCATCAGCACTCTAATTATTACTCACGACTATTTGTACCTCGTTAGTGGCTGCCTTTCATTTTGCTAATTACGCGATCGGCGAACAGACGAATTTCACGGACGAATTTTTTTCCGAAAGCGAATCGCCTCGCAACAGACT